CTCCACTCCTAATTCACCTAAACCCTCCTCTCATGTGTCTCCCTCCATTCATTTCTCGTCTACCACCACGTTCCACAAATTTTGAAGGAAATCTGTCTTTGGGGCCATTTCCAACTCCATTGCCTCTTATGTACATCCCACGTCCTCGCATGAAGCGCATTGTCCCTGGATTTAAAGGAACGCCACGGTAACCTCTTGGTGAACCATCACCACGGAAGATCCATGGCATGCCTCTACCTCTAGGGTTCATCCCACGAACAACTCCTAAAAAAAAAAGAAAATTCATAAAAAAATCTCTACAGAAAGGCAGCTATACCGATCCTTAAATACTAATAAAAGAAGGTAAATGTCAGATAATGTAAATTAAAATATCAGTATGCAAAGCTCAAGAAGCAAATAAATCATTTTTGATTCAAGACATGTATCAATATAGTCAAAGTCAAATTTTATTTCCAAGAATTATAAGGTTCTGATTCAGCTCCGGGCTTACATATTTTCATTCTACTTTATCAACGTGGAGACAACTTGTGCACAATTTAAGGTGTTTGTATTATTGTATAAACTTCACAAACATGGAAACAGGTCACTCTGTCCGACTTTTTTGGGGTTATCCTAGGTAATCTATACATATGCTACTTCTTTCTTTCTTTCAACACACCGGCCATATCCCACCGAGGCGGGGTGGCCCAAAGGGAAAAACAAAAGTTTCTCCTTTTACATTTAGTAATATATACAGGAGAAGGGGTTACTAGCTCCTTGCTCCTGGCATTTTAGTTGCCTCTTACAACACGCATGGCTTACGGGGAAAGAACTAGAACAAGAACTAGAAAGAAAACAGCAGAAAACCCAGAGGGGTGTGTATATATATGCTTGTACATGTATGTGTAGTGTGACCTAAGTGTAAGTAGAAGTAGCAAGACGTACCTGAAATCTTGCATATTTACGAGACAGAAAAATGGGCACCAGCAATACTACCATCATGTAAAACAATTACAGGCTTTCATTTTACACTCACTTGGCAGGACAGTAGTACCTCCCTGGGCGGTTGCTGTCTACCAACCTACTACCTAGATTTTTTTTTTTTTTTTTTTTTTTTCAACAAGTCGGTCGTCTCCCACCGAGGCAGGGTGACCCAAAAAAGAAAGAAAATCCCCCAAAAAAAATACTTTCATCATCATTCAACACTTTCACCACACTCACACATTATCACTGCTTTTGCAGAGGTGCTCAGAATATAACAGTTTAGAAGCATATACGTATAGAGATACACAACATATCCCTCCAAACTGCCAATATCCCAAACCCCTCCTTTAAAGTGCAGGCATTGTACTTCCCATTTCCAGGACTCAAGTCCGACTATATGAAAATAACCGGTTTCCCTGAATCCCTTCACTAAATATTACCCTGCTCACACTCCAACAGATCGTCAGGTCCCAAGTATCATTCGTCTCCATTCACTCCTATCTAACACGCTCATGCACGCTTGCTGGAAGTCCAAGCCCCTCACCCACAAAACCTCCTTTACCCCCTCTTTCCAACCCTTTCGAGGACGACCCCTACCCCTCTTTCCTTCCCCTATAGATTTATATGCTTTCCATGTCATTCTACTTTGATCCATTCTCTCTAAATGACCAAACCACCTCAACAACCCCTCTTCTGCCCTCTGACTAATGCTTTTATTAACTCCACACCTTCTCCTAATTTCCACACTCCGAATTTTCTGCATAATATTTACACCACACATTGCCCTTAGACAGGACATCTCCACTGCCTCCAACCGTCTCCTCGCTGCTGCATTTACCACCCAAGCTTCACATCCATATAAGAGTGTTGGTACTACTATACTTTCATACATTCCCTTCTTTGCCTCCATAGATAACGTTTTTTGACTCCACATATACCTCAACGCACCACTCACCTTTTTTCCCTCATCAATTCTATGATTAACCTCATCCTTCATAAATCCATCCGCCGACACGTCAACTCCCAAGTATCTGAAAACATTCACTTCTTCCATACTCCTCCTCCCCAATTTGATATCCAATTTTTCTTTATCTAAATCATTTGATACCCTCATCACCTTACTCTTTTCTATGTTTACTTTCAACTTTCTACCTTTACACACATCTCAAACTCATCCACTAACCTTTGCAATTTTTCTTTAGAATCTCCCATAAGCACAGTATCATCAGCAAAAAGTAACTGTGTCAATTCCCATTTTGAATTTGATTCCCCATAATTTAATCCCACCCCTCTCCCGAACACCCTAGCATTTACTTTCTTTTACAACCCCATCTATAAATATATTAAACAACCATGGTGACATTACACATCCCTGTCTAAGACCTACTTTTACCGGGAAGTATTCTCCCTCTTTTCTACACACCCTAACCTGAGCCTCACTATCCTCATAAAAGCTCTTTACAGCATTTAGTAACTTACCACCTATTCCATATACTTGCAACATCTGCCACATTGCTCCTCTATCCACTCTATCATATGCCTTTTCTAAATCCATAAATGCAATAAAAACTTCCCTACCTTTATCTAAATACTGTTCACATATATGCTTCAATGTAAACACTTGATCTACACATCCCCTACCCACTCTGAAACCTCCTTGTTCGTCCGCAATTCTACATTCTGTCTTACCTCTAATTCTTTCAATTATAACCCTACCGTATACTTTTCCTGGTATACTCAGTAAACTTTTTCCTCTATAATTTTTACAATCTCTTTTGTCCCCTTTCCCTTTATATAAAGGGACTATACATGCTCTCCGCCAATCCCTAGGTACCTTCCCCTCTTTCATACATTTATTAAACAAAAGTACCAACCACTCCAACACTATATCCCCCCTGCTTTTAACATTTCTGTCATGATCCCATCAGTTCCAGCTGCTTTACCCCCTTTCATTCTACGTAATGCCTCACGTACCTCCACCACACTTACAGTCTGCTCTTCTTCACTCCTAAAAGATGGTATACCTCCCTGGCCAGTGCATGAAATTACCGCCTCCCTTTCTTCCTTAACATTTAAAAGTTCCTCAAAATATTCTCGCCATCACCTAATACCTCCCTCTCCCCATCTACTAACTCCCCTACTCTGTTTTTAACTGACAAATCCATACTTTCCCTAGACTTTCTTAACTTGTTTAACTCACTCCAAAATTTTTTCTTATTTTCATTAAAATTTCTTGACAGTGCCTCTCCCACTCTTTCATCTGCTCTCCTTTTGCACTCTCTCACCACTCTCTTCACCTTTCTTTTACTCTCCATATACTCTGCTCTTCTTATAACACTTCTGCTTTGTAAAAACCTCTCGTAAGCTACCTTTTTCTCTTTTATCACACCCTTTACTTCATCATTCCACCAATCACTCCTCTTTCCTCCTGCCCCCACCCTCCTATAACCACAAACTTCTGCCCCACATTCTAATACTGCATTTTTAAAACTATTCCAACCCTCTTCAACCCCCCCACTACTCATCTTTGCACTAGCCCACCTTTCTGCCAATAGTCGCTTATATCTCGCCCTAGAATATTTACATTTCTTTGTGTATATTTAGCTTTATTCCCAAACATTACATTGTAGGTCTTTTGAATACTGAGTGTTAATTTATTTGTTATTATTCAACCAATCTTAATTGCTTAAAGCATGTATCAAGACAAAGTGAAGTATCTTACTAGCATTTAATAATGTGTGTGAATACATGAGTAGCTCAACATGTGTATAGTATATACTGTATGTTAAAAAATGTATACAAAATGCATTAATATCAGTATTTTCTTTGTAATGTACATATATTCTCCCTACCCAACAGTATACACAGTAAAGCGTAACTTCAAGTGTATATGATTTAAATTTTCATCAATCTCTCAAGCAAAAAGGGCTTTTTTTTTTTTTAACACATCAGCTATGCCCCCCTTAGGTGACCCAAAAAAGAAGAAACACTCTTACTGTCACTCATTCAATCACTGTCTTCTGAGAAATGTGCTGACATCACAGTTCAGATAGCCCTCACTCTGCAACATCCCCACCCCTCCAGAGAGTAAGGGTACTGTATGTCTCACCTCCAGGATTCAAGTCCGGCTAACTGCTTTCCTGAATCCCTTCATAAAAAGTTACTCTGCTAACACTTGAACAGTACATCCATTAAAAACAATTTACTTCCACTCACACCTAACCAGCTCACAGAAGCCTGCTGGATGTCCAAGCCCCTAGTATTCAAATTAAATTATTAAGTATAAATTAAAATCGTCCAATACATGAGAAGACAATGCTGCATCACATCTACACTAGTGAAAAGCTGGATAAAATATTCATACAGTGTACCAAATTTGAAAAAAAGACAACAGGTGTAGTTTTATAAATAAAAAAATTTTGTCTGAAGACAAGACTTTGAAGTTCAGAAGTAAAAAGGACAATGCAATTTTTTTAATTATTTAACATTAGAAATTTAATGGTGTATGTAAAAGCAGCAAGTTAATAATCTAGTGAATTTTATGATGTAATGAATGGTGATATGCTGGCAAAGCTTACTGCCAGCTCATATACTAAGATTAGATAATGCTTTACTTTCCACTGAGGCTGGACTTTGCTGACTATTTGAAATTTCCAATGAACTACAATATGCATTTTGTTAAAAAAAGGGTATTCTATGATAAGTTTGCAGTAAATTGGCTATTAGTTTTTAATGGAAGCAACTAGTAAGTAAATTAGAAGTAAAAACAATATTATCCTTTTGTTTAGTATGGACATCATTCACTACTATTAACTAACACTTACCACAATCTGGTCGAAATGGAGGCCTGTGGAAGAACCTACTTCCTCTGCTGTCACCTCTTCCACGGTTGCCACGGCCACGCATGGAGTCCAGCAAAAACTGTTATTAAGAATAAATAATTAATCCAGAAAATTAAACAACTGAATGTCTGCAGTCCAGAGTTCCATACTCTGGCAAAGCCCATAACAAGTACCCATTTACAATATCAACCTACCTTATGTATCTATGGTATGACAGACCCATCCCCCCCACCTCTACTACTGCTTCAACCTCAGCTGAGCTCAAAGTTGCAAGTAGAAGGAAAGAAAGGAAGCAGAGACAGAATGCAGAGGAACTAGGAGAGAGGACGAGGAGTAGTAACAGAGGGATGTAGAGGATATACAAACTTGTGCACATAATCCATGCATACTCTGTTACCAAGAAATACTGTGCAGGTCTCATGTTTACAATCTCTCTATCATGACCCCACTTCCTGCCCTCCCCAATGAAATACACATTAAAAGAATGCAAAAGAACTAAGGTACAGTAGGGCCCCACTTATACAGCAAGTTAGGTTCCAGGTTACTGCTGGAAAGCAGAATGCCATTTGTTTCCACTTATAAATGTCAGATAATAAGTTTACACTAACATATATTAAGTTAGCAATAGAACAAGGATTATAAAACAATAAAAAGTAAAATACACACACAGTACACTCATTACTTACCTCAAAATATTTGTAGTCTTAATGTAGGGTGAGAAGTGAGTAGTGTTTATTGTAAGAAATTAGGTGTGGTAGGTATGGTAGCCAGCCAGGCCAGCCAGGCCACCCCACTCCACCCACACGTAATATACTTCGACATTTAAAGAGACCTAGAGCGATAAAATATTTGTAGTCTTAATGGTCTTAATATAGGGTGCAAGGTGAATAGTAGGGTATGTAGGTATCGAATAGTGTGGTAGGTATCGTAGCCCCCATCTGGCCACCCCACTCACATTAAATATTAGGCATTCAACCCTTAAACGGTCCAGACGTTATGTTGTTATCCCTTATACTTTGAAAGTAAGGTTCTCACTACATGTTCTAGTGTGGGGTAGCTTTTACATAAAGGCCTTATGTCTAGGGTAATACTTACATCATGACTGATCATCATCAGTGTCTCTGATCCTTTCACCAGCCCTCTTCACAGGTTATTTAAACTACTACTATAAAAATATAACTGTATTCTAAATAGATATGTAGAGAATATACAATTACAGCACTCACATATTCAAAACATAAATCTACACACTCCTTAGCTGCTCTCCCACATGGTGCATCTCAGCAACTTTGCCCTTCTCTCTTCATGACTAATCTCTGGGCTAACAAGTGTTTTGACACACTTTAGTCACCCTGGGTATGGATGTCAGCATAGTTGCTGAATTCCCTTACATGTGTTGTATAGATTAACTGAGCATTATAGTACCATCCATGTGCTTTATATAGAAGATCCCTAGGCCTGTGACTGTATGACGTCACGGGATGCAGCATGAGTGAGTGGGTCGCTCTGCCTCGTCCTCACTCCACGGATAGACATACAAGCAGGCAGAACAAGGCAGGCCTGGGCTCCCACCTCTTACCACAGTCTGACAATACATATCGTTACCATCCAACAAGTGAGTTTACCTTATCCATCATATCTCCTTCCGAACCCCCACGACATGGAGGTCTGGTCACAGACCGGGCTGCGGGGGCGTTGACCCCCGGAACTCTCTCCAGGTAAATACGTTCTCTCGCGTAGTGCCCCAAACATATATATGCGTTTCATTTGTCATTCATTCAACATTGGCACTATAGGCCTGAGCCGCCTAGACATGAGTGAATGGGTGTGCGGACTCAGTGTGCGCCATATGAAAAAAATTGGGGATGCCTGGGTACCACATGCTCTTTTTTCCTATAAAAAAAAAAACTTTTTTTTTTCTCAAAATATTCAGGGCACTGTGCAGGTGAACATATATATATACGTTTGGACTGTTTAAGGGTTAAAGCACCCTAGAGTGATAAAATGCACACATAGTACACTCATTACTTACCTTAAAATATTTGTAATCTTTATGTAGGGTGAGAGGTGACTATACGAGATTAAATGAATAAACGAGAGAGAGATAGAGAAAGACAGAGAGGGAGGGAGAATGAGTACATGAGAGAGGGCAGCACGAGTTATGTAAACAGACCAGCCGGACACATGTGATTTTAGTGCACTCCACAAGCCAACCAGAAAAACATCTCATATTTATGTTAATTTATTCTACTGTGGGTATATTTATCATGTTTATATGTTACGTAGCGTGTTTATAATATAATTTTCAAAAAAATATCATAGATGGATTAAGCAAAATGTCTATATTATTTTATATGACATTTAATGCACTTCACTCTCTGACTTTTTTGGGTTATCCTAGGTTCCCTACACATATGCTGCTATTTATGATAATCTATGTAACTATATTTGTGTATACCTGAATAAACATACTTACTCAGTGATTATTATTATTACAATTATTATAATCATAAAAAAGAAGCGCTAAACCCACAAGGGTCGTGAATAGCTATAGAAACAAGGCATACGAAAGGAATACTTTTCTACAGTTAAGTAACTGGTATTTGACAAGAGAAAACGTAATTCTTCCGACACTCCTACCAACCGCTTTGTAAACAAATCTCACACATATTTATGTCAATTTTTATACTGTGGTGTATGTATCATGTTTATATGTTACGTAGCATGTTTATTATATAATTTTGAAAAAATATTATGGATGGATTAACGGAAATGTCTATATTTATGTAATATACGACATTTATGCACCCAAGAGATTATTATATGGTGTTGAGTAGAGAGACTCTTAGTGATTCTAATCTGTACCTGCACATCAGCACAGTGTGTAAGTATACGTGTATTTAGGTACAGGAACACAAGTATAATTATCAGAGTACAGTAGACCGTCATTTAACACAGTAGTTACATTCCTGCAAACACCGTGTTAGGCAAAACTGTGTTAGATGAACTGAAGAACTTAAGGGAAAAATAGGGTTACGTTCCTGAGAGCCCCAAAAAAGCCAAACAACTTTTTTTTAGGCCCCCACATCTTACAAAAATAAAAGTGAATATGTAATTGTAGTTCATTGTTATGATGTACTATGTTGTTTTTAGTGCTTAAGTCTACAAATGTAACAGAAATAACAATATTTCTTACCTTAAATTGTGAGTGTTGGTGTTTGTGGATGATTGTGAAGAGAGTGGAGAGTTATGTTGTGGTCCTACTGGGCTGAGGTGGATGGTAGAAGTTCTGGTACTGAAGTTGATGGTTGTACTGGAGTGTCTAACTTGAAAGTCATTCAGTCAGTCAAGTCATTCAGTAAGTCAGTCAAGTTGTTCAGTAAGTCAGTCAAGTTGTTCAGTAAGCCAGTCAAGTCATTCAGTAAGTCAATCAAGTCATTCAGTAAGTCAGTCAAGTCATTCAGTAAGTCAAGTCATTCAGTAAGTCAGTCAAGTCGTTCAGTAAGTCAAGTCATTCAGGAAGTCAGTCAAGTCACTCAGGAAGTCAGTCCAGTCGTTCAGTAAGTCAGTCCAGTCGTTCAGTAAGTAAGTCCAGTCGTTCAGTAAGTCAGTCCAGTCGTTCAGTAAGTCAGTCAAGTCATTCAGTAAGTCAGTGAAGTTATTCAGTAAGCCAGTCAAGTCGTTCAGTAAGCTAGTCAAGTCATTCAGTAAGCCAGTAAAGTCGTTCAGTAAGTCAGTCAAGTCGTTCAGTCAAGTAGTTCAGTAAGTCAGTCAAGTTGTTCAGTAAGTCAGTCAAGTCATTCAGTAAGCCAGTCAATTCATTCAGTAAGTCAAGTCATTCAGTAAGTCAATCAAGTCGTTCAGTAAGTCAGTCAAGTCATTCGGTAAATCAAGTCGTTCAGTAAGGCAGTCAAGTCATTCAGTAAGTCAGTCAAGCCATTCAGTAAGTCGGTCAAGTCATTCAGTAAGTCAGTCAGGTCATTCAGAAAGTCAATCAAGTCATTCAGTAAGTCAGTCAAGTCGTTCAGTAAGTAAAGTCATTCAGTAAGTCTGTCAAATCATTCAGTAAGTCAGTCAAGTCATTCAGTATGTCAGTCAATTCGTTCAGTAAGTCAAGTCGTTCATTAAGTCAGTCAACGGAGACTGGCATACATCATGCTAATATTTAAAAATAGGTAACAGAATTGTTTGTAAAATTATAGGGCTGTCTCTAAGAAACCTTGGTAAAAAATTCCGGAAATAGACATTTGAGAAAAGTGAATAAAACACCTAGAGAGCAAAGACCTATTAACTATCACAGCTAAGTTTCAGATCAGAAAGATTTGGTATATCATGCCTTTTAAATCTATGGGAGTTACAAAGCTCATACAAGAGACTTCATGGCAAATTTCATTTATTTGGACTTCAAGAAGATCTTTGATAATAGTCCCCCATGAAAGACTAAAAGGAAATTTATAAAATATCAAGAAAAATACAAGACAAGCTATTAAAAATAGATAAGAAAAATGTCCTCGTAGGAAAAAGTTGCCAGTAGTCTGACAAGGATCAGTACTAGTCTCATCATTAATTTATATAAATGATCTGCCAGGAGAAATAAAAACTACTGTACATATATGAATGTGCTTGGTGATGATACAAATAATAATAAGAGGAGGTCTCTGCAAGAAGACTAAGAGTGGCTGAGCAGAGTGAGACAGATGATGAAATTTAGCCCTTTCACTGTCCAGAACCCCAAAATAAAACTTGCTCTCAATGTAAAAAAAAAAAAAAGTTTTTCTTTTGAAATGGTAGAAAATCTTTCTCTGAAGGTATTGACACCGAAAGTACAAAATCTGATGAAAATAATTAGGCACAAAGTTACCAGTCTCGGTATAACTTATCTACCGGCGATTATGCTGACTTTTGAGTCCAGTTTTAAGCTAATTCCATTGTTCCAATCAACCAGGCTCTTTGCCATTATGCTAGTAAGCCTTCTAGTCTATCAAGTGAGCATAAGAAACCCCCCATTAATTATTTCAATTACCCTATAAAATGATCAAATTTCGGAATTTGACCAGTTTCACACAAAATTAAAAAATA